TATATATATATATATATATATATATATATATATATATATATATATATGTATGTATATATATATATATATATATATGTATGTATGTATGTATGTATGTATGTATAAGTATATGTACACGTGTATATACTTACACATACATAAGGGATGCCGCAGATTTACGCGGCTCTATTTTTACTGTACGGGGAGAAGTTGAACAGTCTAATGGCTTGAGGGACAAAGGACTTCCTGACTCTGTCCATGCCATGGAGCAGGACTGGGACAGCATCTACCACTGAAGGAGTTCTTCTGCTTCATGATGGCACCGTGCAGAGGATGGTCAGCATTGTCCATGATGGATAGCAACTTATTGAGGGACCTTCTCTCTGTCACTGATGTAAGAGACTCCAGCTCTGTTCCCAGCACAGAACCAGCTTTCCTCACCAGCCTGTCTAGTCGCCCAGCATCTCTCCTCTAACGCTGCCTCCCCAACACACAGCAGAACACAAGAGGACACTGGCTACCACAGACTGGTAGAACATCAGCAGTAGTTTCCTGCAGATACTGAAGTAGAGCCTGCTCTGACCTTTGACCCTTCCTGTAGAGGGAGTCCATGTTCACTGACCAGTCTGTCATCCAGTTTTATGCCCAGATAGTTGTAGGCCCTGACCACCTCCACATCGGCCCCCTCAACTGAGACTGGCTTCAGGGTGGACCCAGGCCTTCTGAAGTCCACTAGCATTTCCTTGGATTGACTGATGTTCAGCTGTAGATGGATGGATTAGCATCACACTACAAAGAGGAGTGCAGCACATAAAACAGTGTAGACTGACAGAAACATTTCCACATGATGATGGGATGCTGGCCAAAGGAGCGAGTAAACTCATCTGTTCTGGACCTTTATCGCTCAGACACACTTCACAGTAGAAATATAAAGTTTTAAAGGGTCACACAAATGAATTTACTTTTTGATCTCCACAAACTGAACACAATAAAATAAGTTTTATGTTTGTTGGAAATGTTTTCTTGGAATGTTCTACTCAGGATGATGTCAGGGTTACATCCAAAGCCTTTTTATTCCCAGAAAGTTTACTCTTACACAGTTTATATATTCTGAAACAAGTGTTTTGTCAGCCACGATTGTTATAAAAGTAAATTGCAAAAAAACTATTGGACTTTAAAGATTAAAGCGTATGTTTTTAATTTTTTTAATTTTAGAGGTTTAAAGTGAAATGATGCCTGTCTTTGTTTACTCAGTGTGTCTGACCCCTCAGAGTGCACAAAGATGCCAAAGGACATGCATGTCCAAACAGTTTTATTTTTGCATATTTTTAATGAAAATAATTTTAATGATGCTGCATGTGTTTAAGTTCTGGGTCAGCGTGGCACAGTTAGATCGGTCACCGTTCAGTAGGAAGGTTGCCAGATTGAATCCCGGCCAGGGGCCTTTCTGGGTGGAGTTTACATGTTCTCTCTGTGCATGTGTGGGTTTTCTCCAGGTACTCCAGTTTCCTCCCACAGACCAAAAACATGCATGTTAGGCTGATTGGTAACTCTACATCTAGGTGTGAGTGAGAGAGTGAATGTCTCTGTCTCTGTGACGGACTGGAGACCTGTCCAGAGTGTTCCCCGCCTCTCGCCCAGTGACTGCTGGACATGGGCATCAGTGACCCGGAAAGGAAGAAGCGAGTAAAGATGATGGATTTATGGATGGATGTCCGATTGTTGGTCGAACCTAAGATCCAGGAGGAACAATGTGGGTTCGGTCCTGGCCGTGGAACACTGGATCAGCTCTTTACCCTCACTAGGGTCCTTGAGAGGTCATGGGAGTTTGCCCATCCTGTCTACATGTGTTTTGTGGACTTGGAGAAGGCATTCGACCATGTTCCTCGGGGTACACTATGGGAGATGCTCCGTAGGTATGGGATTGGGGGCCCGTTGTTACGGGCTGTTCAGTCCCTACACAAGCGGTGCGAGAGTTTGGTTCACATTGCCGGCAGTAAGTCAAACCCTTTCAGGGTGAGAGTTGGACTCCACCAGGTCTGCCTGTTGTCACAGATTCTGTTCATAACTTTTATGGACAGAATTTCTTGGTGCGGGCAGAGGGAGTCCGGTTTAGTGGCCTCAGGATTCCATCTATGTTCTTTGCAGATGATGTGGTCCTGTTGGCGTCATCGTGCCGTGATCTTCAGCTCTCACTGGAGTAGTTCACAGCCTTGTGTGAAGCGGCTGGGATGCGAATCAGCATCTCCATATCTGAGGTCCTCAACCAGAAAAGTGTGGATTGCTCTCTTTGGGTCGAGGGTGAGATTCTTCCTCAAGTGGAGGAGTTCAAGTGTCTCGGGGTTTTGTTCACGAGTGAGGGAAGAATAGAGTGTGAGATTGACAGACGGACTGGTGCAGCGTCTGCAGTACTGCGGACTCTGTACTGGTCTGTTGTGGTGAAGAGAGCTGAGCTGTAAGGTAAAGCTTGTTTACTGATCGGCCTATGTTCCTACCCTCACCTATGGTCATGAGCTCTGGGTAGTGACCGAAAGAATGAGATCATGGATACAGGCAGTTGAAATGAGTTTCCTCCGCAAGGTAGCTGGACTCTCACTTAGAGCTAGGGTGAGAAGTTCAGTTATCCTGGAGAGACTCGGAGTAGAACCACTGCTCCTCCAAATCAAGAGGAGCCAGTGGAGGTGGTTCGGGCATCTGGTACGGATGCCGGACGCCTCCCTAGGGAGGTTTTTCAGGCATGTCCGACTGGGAGGAGACCCCGGGGAAGACCCAGGACACGCTGGAGAGATGATGCCTCTCTGTTAACCCGGGAACGCCTTGGAATCCTCCCAGAAGAGCTGGAAGAGGTGGCTGTAGAAAGAGATGTCTGGGCCTCCCTGCTCAAGCTGCTGCCCCTGCGACCCGACTTCGGAATAAGCGGAAGATAATGGATGGATGGATGTTTAAGTTGTGTTTTTCTGCCGTTTTCTTCTGCAGAGGTCTGCACAATGAGTGAACTCTCATAAAAGGTTTGCCAATTGTTTTACACTGAATGCCCTTCATGATGCAACCTGTACCAAGACTGCAGTACCGTCCACCGCGCCTTTAAATTCTATAACATTTTATTATTTAACTTTATAAATCTGCAGTTATAGTATGTCTGTGTGCAAAACAGAATGCTTAAAATTCACAAATATGTGGCATAGCAGAATAAACGTACAGCATATTTTAATGTCCATATTAAAAAAAACTGCATTGCGCATTTCACTGCATTTATTTGGTGTTACATTCTTCATATGGGCGTTTAGAGTCATGAAATTCCACTCTGCAACTAAAATGAAATATCAGTCTATGATGATGAGTCCTTTATGTCTATACCTCCTAAACAACACTGTTACACAGAAATGGTGTGGAACGAGCAGATGCTTGTGCTAATAATCTTTTTAAAATTATTTAAATTGACTAATTTTAATACAGCGACTAAGGCTTACTTTTTATTTTGTGGTTTTCTGTCTGCCTCTCCTTTAAGGACAGCTGCCAGGGAGTGACAGACAGGCCTGTGGTTACTATGGAGACTCCAATGAGCCACTGTTAGCAGCTTTACCATATTACTGATTGTAGTTTTCTTTCCACTTATTGCGCATTGTTTATACACCGGTGTGTGGACGACTTGTTATCTTAGAATATTACCAAAGTAAGTCCCAGATTACTATAGAGTTGATTATTATTATAGAGTTGATTATTATAGAGTTGATTATTATAGAGTTGATTATTATAGAGTTGATTATTATAGAGTTGATTATTATAGAGTTGTTGTTTTGTTGGAGTTCTGGTCAGTTAGCTGCAGTAGCCCGCGGTCATCAGAAGGCCGGGCGGCAGCGCTGTGGATCGCGCATGCGCAGTGAGGCCGGCTCGCTCTTTGGGTGCAGCTCGTTTTGAGAAGGAAGCAGAGTTTCCGGCTGTTTGCAGCGGAGGGAGAGGATCGCTGACGCCGCGAAACCCCGAGGTGAAAAAACGCCACTGGCTCTGGGGGGCTCACCGTTTCAAGCGACGGGTAGTAGCTCTTTCCTGTCATACCGGGGGGGTCAGGGGGCTGGTGAATTTCTGCAGTCCAGGGGGGAGTCGAGCGGAGACGCGGCACAAGGCGGGGGTTAGCTACCAGCTACCGGCATGGCCAGGGACTACGATTACCTCTTCAAGCTGCTCATCATCGGTGACAGCGGTAAGACGATGCCGTGGATGCGAGACGGGAAGTGGGCCCTTTCTCGATTTTAGTTATATTTTACAGGAGGGGAAGGAGAAGTACTGCTGTACTCGTTTATTGTGTGTTTGCTGTACGCGTTTATTGCGGTTTGCGTCACATTTTATTCACGAAAACGAGTGAAACGTAAATCTCCGCCATGTTTTAGTGCCATTGACGGGCGGAGGTGTCCCGACTGGGCATATCGGGCCGGATACCACCTCCACGGCTTCAGTCTCTCTCGCACCAACATTTATTTTTAAATCGAGTAAAACTTGTTTTAATGCCACGATAAAACCCAGCTTTTGACCTAAATACAGGGGCCGAAGTTGAGCCTTTCTCATTGTATCTCTGATGTTTGTGCTGTAATGCTAATGCTAGGCTAACATAAGCATTTCAGGCTTTGTAGAGTAAATAAGTGCTTCTTTTTCACATTTTTTTTTTTTTAGCTTTGGAGGTGGTTAGCTAAGTCGTTGATTTTTGTTTGCTTGTGTATGTAAAGTCAGCAGATGTCGGGTTGAGCAGACAGCTGAGCGGGCCAGTCGAAGTGAAGTTTAGGTGGTGTTAGGTGGTGTCAGGACAGGTGAGGTTAGTTGTTGAGCTTTTAAGCAAATTTCCTTTTAATCAAAAATTTAAACTTTTTAAACAAGCTCACATTGCCACAGGTGGGTCCATGCTGTGGAGGTCTTCCGGATTTAAGTTGCTACCTTGTCTCATCCAGCTGGAAATATGTTTTTAAAGTTGTGATCATCGCTTCACTGACGGTTCCAATCCTGGCACCAGTAACTCACCATTCACAGTCAGAACAAGGCAGCACTGCAAGCCCTTCACATCTCTACACACAGGCTTAGTGTCCCCACTAAAGCCACAGCAGGACGGTTCAACAATCTGCCTTTCTGCACAGAAAGTATCAGGAGAACGATGCTTGTTCATTTTTGCCTCCACAGACATAAGGGAAACTTTTCTAGGCGCTAGTACTCAATCATGGAGGTGGAGGTTGACTTTTCTTGTTCAGCTTGCTCTCACTAGAGAATGTTTATAGACAGAGCTAATGTAACACTCTTCTGTCAAGTGTTTTATTACATGCATTTGGTCTTAAGGCTCAAGAAATGCCGTGCATCATTTACAAGACTCCACACTCGGTGTTCGCTGGAAAGAGAAAGTGATTGTGGGTCGAGCAGCTGGAAGACGCGCTCCTTTCGTCTGGTTGTCTGCGCCGCTTTGATATTTGGTTATTGTTGTTTGAACACAATTCTGTGGTGTGGAGATCAAATGTTGGGCAAGAACAAACAGCAGGCTCTGTAAGAGCATGAGCACCAGAGGCCTAACTTCCAGTTGAAACCAGAATGGTGATGTGTTAAGACAATACTGATTCCACTAACCATTTTTGTTGTGATTTGTTTTGTCCGTGATGCTTAAGTTTTGTTTCTGACTTTACTTTGTAGCTCTGAGTAGCATTCTCCCTCCTGCTTTTGTTTATTCTGCATTTGTATTGAATTTAGCTTCATTCTCTCTAAACATCCAAATGAACCTGCAGGGTGTAGGCCGTGCTGCATGAACTCATCCACCCATTAACGTATTATAATACTAGACCAAGCGTCCCCACCTTGTCTTGTTAATGGCAGTTGCAGCCGGCAGGACCTGGTTTACAGGAGCAACCATGTCGTCCGGAACCAGAGTTTGAGCATAAGAGATGAGGGGCTTTAGCCCTGCCTGCTCTCCCAGCACACACACACGTGGGGTTACATGGATATATAGAAACTGAATAGATTCAAGGATTACTTTTTGTCATACTAGCTCATATTTGCATGTTTGTGGTAAGAAATTTGGACTCAGGTCCCAGATCAAGAACCCCAACAATTAACAAATAAATAAATACAAAAAAAAAAAAAAGAGTACAAATATTTTAATAAATAAAGGAAAAGAGTAAGATGAAGCTGAATTAAGTTCAGCTCGAGTTCAGCAGTCTGACAGCTGCAGGGAAGAAACCGTTTCTGAGCCTGGTGGTCTTCCTCTGAATGATCCTCAGCCGCCTGCTTGAGGGGAGGGGCCAGAACAGACTGTGTGCAGGGTGAGTGGAGTCCTTCATGATGCAGAGCGCCTTCCCCCTGCATCATGAAGTATAGAGGTCTGAGGTGGTGGGAAGGCTGCTCCCCAGTCTTCTGTGCAGATGTACTTGAATAAGAGCAGCGTAGGATATGTTTAGTTACATTATATTTTTTTTAAAGCATGAAATAACTAATTACAGCTAAATGGATTAGAATAATGATCTGAACACAGCAGCAAGGTAAGAACTATGCAAATCAACAAGTCGGCACCTGAAAAATTATAAGGTGTGTTGCTTTTCTAAATAAAGGAGAAGTCCTTTTTTTTATATGTGATGGGGATAGGATTTAAATCTTATACTGGGACCTCTATGGAGATGGTGTTCTCCTTCCAGGATCTGAATGAGGTCCAGTTTTACAATTTATGACAGTGATTCTACCTTATGTGATGTGCCTTATTTTGCATTTCTTAAAGAACTAAATTTTAAAGCACACAAGGCTTGCAGGGAATGTTCATGTTTGTTGGTTTGTAGTTGTCAGATCTTAGTTAAGACAGATGAAATCATCATTTGACTCGTGTGTTTAAAAAACCCTAAAACCTCTGTTGTTTGAAGGCTTTCAGTTGAGTCGCAGGTTCATATTATCCTTTTTTAATTTGGAAATTAGTTTGTATTTAAACTTCATTCTGTGCTTGTTTCTTCCTCAGGAGTGGGGAAGAGCAGTCTCCTCTTGCGATTTGCAGACAACACATTTTCAGGTGCGTGGTTCCGTCTCAGCTGTGACATGAATCCAGCATTTTCTACCCTGTAGTTCCTGCTCTTTTATTCTTCTTTTTGTTCTGTGGTGGGAACATGGCTGTTTACAGGTAGCTACATCACCACAATAGGCGTGGACTTTAAGATCCGGACAGTTGAGATCAACGGGGAGAAGGTGAAGCTACAGATCTGGGACACAGCAGGGCAGGAACGCTTTCGCACCATCACTTCCACGTAAGTAGATCCGTAGTTGCACTTTGAAATGTTTCCATGTTTGTGATTAAAGCTGGAACCTGAAGAGAGTCCCTTTGTGACCATCACATTGGATATTACTGTATATAAAAGACATGTTTGCAGATGATTAAAGTGCTTCACGATGAAGCTGGGTGGAATTCCCCACAGCTTCTAATTACAGACGTGAGAGGGAGGCTCCTCGTCGTGTGCTGCGGTGCTACATGAAGGCAGCAGCTTGGTGTCAGTAGTGTGTGTGTTTGTCTCACACTGCTGTCCGGTGTACTTTGTCCATTTGTCCCTACACTCACTATGGTTTAAAATAGCCTGGACAACCTAAAGTACTATTTTATTTTTCAACAACTCCTAATAACTTGTGGGGGTGGGGGGTAAAACACCTGTCTCTGAACTAGGGCATTAACAGAGTACTCGAGTAATCTACACATCGATTGCTAGGACATCTATCGAGGTTAAAAATGTAATGTTGGGTATCCGTAGTGACGTCATATTATGTGACACCGTATGACCGTAGGGGGTGGTGTTGCACTGTTGCAGGTCACAGACTATGGTGTAACACCGGGTCCAATCCACTGTTTTAAGTTTTGTTTTTGGCGTGCTGCACGTTTCTTCACGTTTGCAGTTTAATAATAACAACTAATAGTTTAGTTTTTCCTGTGACTTATTTGCAGTATGATAAATGGTAGGAGCATAATATACGCTCCCAATGTTTTGTTGGTCTTTTTTTTTTTGTAAATAATTACCTTTTATTGCGGATTTATTTATTTATTTTTGTATCTTGAGATCTATGACGTCATCAAATACTCGAGTTCTACTCGGGTTTTATTATGTTAATGTTGAGTTTTAAAATTATATACTCGTTCAACCCCTACTCTGAACTCCATTGTTACCCAGAAATTTTACAAATGCAGTAAGTACATGAAAGATAGTGGGGGCTGCAGTAGCTCAGTGGTCTTGTAATCCTGAGGCTGCAGGTTTGATCCCAGGTTGCATCAGGTGTAAAACAATGGCCAAATCTTTTGTGCATAATTCAAGCAGTAGTGACTCCTGCACAAGGGAGCAGCAGAAAGAAGATGACCACAACCATTACATAGTGCTGTAGTAACATTGTAAAGGGTCATAATACTCGCAGAACGACTCATTTTAAAAATGTACTTCATTTGTGATGACTCAGGTGCTCTGCTGCACAGTGTCAACAGATGCATCACAATAGTTTACGGTTGAAGAAAGTAGCAGTAAGAAGCATTAATGTGACAAACACAGGACAAAAACAACAGCTGCAAGACCAAAATCATCTTTTCTTTAGGTTTTGTTTTCATATTTAATTGGTGTTTATAATGCTTATCACTTTATTCCATAAACTACTACGGTGCCCGCAAGTTCTGCAACAGCTACGGGCATCTGGGGCTGAAAAAACCGACTGTGGTCATCCATTTGACTCTTGTTTTAAACTCCAAACTTTGTTTCAACAAATATCCGTAGCAGTATGTACACAGTGAGCAGACGGTAATCCTAAAGCTGTTTGGTTCTTCCTGAAGTTTGTTTAGTGATCTGTTGCTGTGTCAGAGAACCAGTGTGGGTTCTCCATTTCAGCAGGTTTTCTTTCTTTACTTTTTAAAAAATTATTATTTTTTGTAATGTGCTGAGCTGGAATATGGACTTTCAGCTGAAAAGAATAAAACAATATTTTATTGATCCTCTGAGGGTCATTGATTGAGCCAGGAGGCTGGACTCAGAGAGCACAGTGAGTAGAGTGCCAGTGGACTCTATTACATAACTATATTTCTACTCTACTACTATTATTTCTTACAAAGACGATGGTATTACCAGTGCAGCAACATGAACGGGCACTGATAAAAACATACAGCACTGTCTGAACCTTCTCTTGCATATAAATGTGGATATTAATTTAGTTTTGACAGAAGTAGGTTGTTATACCTACATATAACACATTTGACTCATCTCTTACAAGCACTGCTCCAGCAGGAATGATCAGACATCGAGATCTTCCTGAAACAATAAAGTCCTGGACTGTGCTGCTGCCTCAGCCCCTCAGGAGCATGACTGTCCCAGTTAAACGGTGCTGCTGTTTCCAGTTGTCCTGCAGGAATCCCTCCACCAACAGTTTTGTTCAGGCTGATTGTTCTCTGGACTGAAGTGGAGTGGTGTGGTGCCTTATTAGGTCCTAATTGATCTTTTCTGTGAGTACGGCTCAAAGGTACCTGCTCAGACCACTCAGGCAGAATAACCTTGGGTGGGAGGGAGCCACGTTTAGAGGCGTGCAGCAGCAGCAAGCCTCAACACCACTGGAATTACAACACAAAATACACTTCCTGGTTCATTTTTATACGCTCGTCGAAGGCGGGGCGTATTATGGTTAGGTAATAGAGTCCACTGTATAAGTAAGCTTTCTCTTTTCTGGGCCATAACTTCTGATCTGCTCAAGATTTTTATTTATTTTTTCTTTTGGCTGCTCCCTGCTTCAGCAAACCAACTCACATGAAGACTTGGCATTTGTTTATTTTTTTTTACTCTGGATGCACTTCCTGATGCTACCACAGCCCTCTGTAGCAGAGAGCTGCTATCTAGGGTGCCCGGGGGAGCAGATGGTGGGGGTTAAGGACCTTGGTCAAGGGCCCAGAGTGATGGGGTGGGGTGAAATGAGGGTGGAGGCAGGTGTGGGTGTTTCACCTTTTCCACCCACATTTTGATGCTGTCGGTACTGATGTGCTCAAGATAATTTAATGAAACTTGATACGCACGTGTATCACCACTAGACGGAGTGTCTTGAACATGTTTCATCACCCCAGCTGCACACATGCCAAACTCAAGAGCTACAGGCCAAATCTGGTCCCACAAGATAATTTAAATGTAAAATATTGTTTCTTCTAATTTTTTCTTTAAAAAAACAGAGAAATACTTCATTTAGTGTAGACTTCTCTTACCAGCTGGTTAAGTTTGAAGTTAGAAAAAGGTTGGATCATTCTGTCATTATAGATTCTGATGTTGAAAGAGCAGCAGAACGTCATATGAGACCGATCAAACTCTTGCTGATGAACCTGCAACCAAGGAAAGATGTGGGGTATCTGACTCGAGCTAATGCATCAGCTGAGAGTGGCTCAAAGTTTTTAAATTCTGGCTCATTTTGGTAACTGGGTTTGACAGCCCTAAATGAACAAATATTCTAAATATTACAAGTAAAAGAGAAAGTTGTGCAAGAAACAAGATATTGGCCACCAAACTCCGGCCTGGAGTAGCTGGCCGTGTGATGATTTATCAAATGAGAGGTCCAGGTTTTATAAACGTTTCTCTACTCTTGTTCCTGCTCTGTGTCCAGCAGTTTGACGCTGTCCTTCCCTTCTGTCCAAGGACTTGTTAGTTTGGGACATTGGGGACGATCAACACTGTATAACCACTCTGTCTCAGCAGACAGAAACACTGACGCACACATGCACGCACAGTGAGCCTGACAAAAGCCTCTTTGTGCGTGTTTGGCTCAGTGCAGCCCCTCTGGGGATGCTTCTTCTGTGGCTTCAGACCACTAGTTGATGCTGGTTTCAGTTCTGTGACCGTTCTTCCTGCACACATTCTACTTTTACGTTCTCGGCTGGAGCAAACCGTCCCTCAGCTCTGCTGCTAAACACGTCACAAGGAGAATTAAGCATCAGTAAGAATAGTCATTTTAGTTAAACATTTTAAGGTAATTAAGCTATATTGCTCATAAATTGAAATTTGTCTCCCTCTCTTGGATGCTTCTTTTAACAACCTGTTTTGAAGTAAATTTAAAATAGATGCCGGAATTTTTTTTAGGGCTAATGTTCGACTCCGGTCTATTTTTATTATTTTTCCTTATAGTGTGGAGTAAAACAACTAGATTATTAACTTATTTATATATGTTGGGTATTTATATGCTCAGGATGGGAGACTGCAACGAAGTCAAGATTGAACAGGTCTGCTGCTTCCTTACATGGTAAATGGTAAATGGACTGTACTTATAGTGCCTTTCTATCTTATTTCAAGATACTCAAAGTGCTTTACACTACAATCTGTGCCTCATTTACCATTTACCCATTCATACAGCTCTATACTAGATCTCTACAAAGCTAATTGGACAAATCATTCTAAAGAGACTAATCAGAGCTTTATCACATTCAAACACTGATGGGACACACATCAGAGGCTATGAAGAGTTCAGTGTCTTGCCCAGGGACACTTTGACATGTGACTGCTGGTGGATTCAAACCCCCAACTCTCGCATTGGAGGACGACTGCTCTAACCACTCAGCCACAGCCGCCCTTCCTTAGATAGAGAACTTTACTAATTAGCTTTTCTATGTATGTGAATGTTCCTGTAAAGTGCCCTGAGAAAACTATGTTGTGATTTGGTGTTATATAAATAAACTGAACTGAATTAAATTGAATTGAATTATATTTCCCATAAACCTCCATGAACTTATTTAAATTACCTGATTGAATAAGTCTTTTAATCCTCATTATTTATTTAAGCTAATTTTAATATGTATTTACTACTAATAACTACTTTGGTTTCTGTAGTACTGTGTACTTTTACTGTTTTGTAGTTCACACATTGGTTTTATATTTGCTTACTTTTACCAACTTGTGTTGTTTAGGGACTTCATTCCTCTTTTATTGATTCTTAATTTAGAGCAGGACATCTCAAACTTCATATTTAAGTCTGATTTCTAGTAGAGGTCAAAGGTTTGTCTGAACGAGCGGTATCTAAGCATATTTTTTTCATGAAATTAGAAATTAAAATAAATTGGTCATTAGGAAAAGCTCCAAGTGAAACATAGTCAGATCTCAGTAAATCAGAGGCTCAATGGGATTAACCTGTATAAATAAAGGTTGAATGAACAAATGTTTTACAATATTTTTCTGTTTTCTCTTGAACTGAATGTTGAGTATTGATTTATTTTTTCATTACGGTGTTTTTAGAAGAAGAGCTTCTGTATATTCTACTTACA